GGGCCCGGGCTGGATTCCAACCCACCACCTTAGGTGTATGTGGCTGGCGCCTTAGCCACTTGAGCCACAGGCGCCGAGCCAAGTCTCTGTATTTTCTAAAGACAGGGTATAACAAGAGTCTTACCACATGAGTTCCTAATATCCTTGTAATAAATGATTTTGCACTTACATTAGTGAGAGTTGTTTCTGTTGCTTTTAACCTAAGAGCCCAGACTAATAGTGTAACACATAATCTTGCCTCTCCACCTAAGATGAACATGGTCTTTTTAGCTGACCTGGTTATTGTTAGCTGAATAGAAGTCTACCACAAGGAAACTCAGACACATGCCTGCTATAAAGGTGAACACAAGCTTCGACTACAATCACAGACCTACCCAGATCTTTCGCCAGAGAGAAGTTAAGTCTAACTGTACTCTGTGCTGTTAAGGCAACTTGGGTATAGCAGCTGCTATGAACCAGGTGTTTGAGATTACTGACAAACTGGAAACACACCTAAATAACACACATCCCAAGTGGTAAGGACCCTATGGATGATGTGATAGAAAACAGTTTAGGCTGGAGAATCGAAGATGTAGGAAAAGTCACCTTAATTTCCACATTTCTAGAAGTGAGCAGCCATCTGTTACAGTAGAAGAGATTTAATGAAGGGCAATTCATAAATTATAAAGCACTGCACAAATGTGACTTAGGTGTTACTAATTTCTTACACAAACCATATTCATGCACATTAATGTAATCTATATTACTAAAGTAATGCAATCTAACAGGGTTATGATGGTGTGATTGCTCTTTCTTTAGGAGTAAGATCTTACAATATGGTAGCCTTATGTGTCTATTTAATGTGAATTAAATGAATTTTACAATTTAGTTCCTCAGCTGGACTAGCCACATATCAAGTGCCCAATGATCACGTGACTATCATATCAGTACAAGTCATTTCCATTGCATCAGAAAGTTCTACTGGACAGTGCAGCTCAAGAAAAATGTTAGTGTAATATTGTATCTATAATCCGTTCTTAGTGACATGGAAATTTTGATTTTTATTATAGAGCTTTCTAGTTTAACAAAACTGGTATCATTCACATCATAGACTAACATCTCATGAACTGTAAAGAAACTCTTACTCTGGACACCCCACGACCCTATTTCTCAGACTAGGCCAGTTCTCCTGACACCACAATCCTGGGACCTGCACTTGAAAATAAATTGGAAGCACCTGAGAGCAGTACCATTACCTGCCCCCTATTTTAACTATTTCACATAGCTAGGCTTTCATACTCAGGTGTATTGTTCCATCCTAGAAGATGTGATGCTGCATTTAAAGTAGAACTTTCTTCTTGTCTTCCAGAGGCACATGCACTTTTCTTGGAGCTCCAGTCAACCCTGACCTCTTCCTTTGGCAGCAAGGTCACAAGCCTGAGCCAGAAGCTTCAGCTGGTTCCAGTAGGATAAGGATGTGTGCTCTACTTGTCTGAGGTGCCAGATTCCCCAGAGAAAAGTCAAGATTCATGTGCCTCAGCCCAGTCAGGCCTGGGTACTTTTCACATTCTGGTATGAAAGAATTGTTTCTTCTGGGAACAATTAGAACATTTTTTACATTTTATTTGCATAAATATAATAATTCACTTAATTGGTCTCTAAATGATTAAATCTTAAAATGGCTTTTTATTTAGGAATGGGAATTACTAACTTAAAAAAATTCTCATTTGATTTGAAAAAAATCTGATTCTGAAGATTTCATCAGGCAGTACTTATGGGATGACTATGAAGTTCTTTCATCCAAATGAGAGAATACAGGGTGTCCATAAAGTTCGTTTTCAAAGCAGTCCCTCTGATTGTTTATCCATTTAATCCATAGCCACTCTCACTGCCCACACGGCTTGAGAAGCCTCTTGGAGAGTTGCCTAGGGAACCTACAGGATTCATCTGAAAGCCATCATGACAAGTCTTTTTGCTTGAACGTAGATATTTTTGAATCAGCCCAAAGCCATCTGGATACAAATTTGGTAAACATGTTGGGCAACAAAGAAAAAATTCTTCCAAGCAACAAAACCAAAAAATAGGTTGTGCTGTTTTAGATGGAAAATGAGACATAAAAACTCTTAAGAACCTATTAAGTGCCAGGGAAGGCATTAATTGCTTTCACCTATATGGTTTCATTTGATGTTCTCCTGAACATTGTAAAGCAAGTGGCACTCCTGACAATGACTCTAGTTTACAGGGTTGATGAGTTGCCTAAAGTAATGCTATTTGTTAAGTAGTAGAGTCAGTACCTACATGAGTTGGGTTGGGCTCGACAGTGCACTGGGAACTTAGTAAAATGGATTATCTCTACCTTGGACGGCAGCATGACCTGTGGCAAGAGATTGGAATAGGATATTTATGTTACATGGTTAACATCAATCCTTTCATTTCTATGCAAGTATGCTGATGTACTTTCCAGACTACACTGTAATCTGTTTACGTCTGTCTACACAGACTGTGTTCTCTAAAGAAGGGACTATGATTTTTCTTCATCTCCATATTCCTAAAAGCTAGCCAACATCCAGTATACACTTGGTATACCTGTTTCTTGTTTGGCCGCTGACTCTACCCTGACTTTGGCTTTTTTTGAAGTCAAGAGTCTCACTTTGTTGCCATTGGTAGAGTGCCATGGATAGATGGATAGCTGACAGCAACCTCAAACTCTTGGGCTTAAGCGATTCTCTTGCCTCAGCCTCCCAAGTAGCTGGGACTACAGACGCCCACCACAATGCCTGGCTATTTTTATTATTTTTTTAAATTTCAAATTTAGTTGAAATTTATGAGAAACAATGACAGGATTACAGATAATAATTTTATAGTTTATCATTAATGCTTGAATTTTTACATAACAATTTATGATCCTATCACAGTAACGATAAATATGTGGCCATTGATTTTACAACTTCACATATGCCTACAGTAATATTTGAACAATCATTCCTTAAGTTCCTATTCTTCACATGCAAAATATGCTACAGCCAAACACGAATAGCACAATGTGTACAGTAAGCAGATTATTTAACAGCAATTAAATTCTAAAGAGTCTACAAAAAATAATCAGAAAAATTCATTGGGAAAAGTTGTTTTTAAGATTCTATTTACACTGTCATGAACTGAAACCAACTGATATGTGGAAACTGACCATAAATTCACCAAAAAAAAATTTTGTCATTTAAGATTCAAGTCATGGCTGCATTTTCAGTGTAAGCCACCACTAAATATTTTTCTAACAAATGCAGACACATATTTACTCATTCCTCCATATTGAGGTCACTCATGATTGTCAGTACTACGGTAAAACATACAAGTTATTCAACTGTGTCCAATTTAATCAATCAAAATCATGTTTTCCATCTATGTAGTCAAACATAGCACATCTATTCACTATAATATAGCGTCCTTCTCCTTTGATGCTGACATTACATGGGAACAAAAGCAATTATGATTCAACTTAATTTTCATCATGACTTCACAGTTTTAACTAGTGACAGGTTTCAGGCTAAACGTTAAGAACACAGGATAACAGCTAAGCTTTCTTTTTAAAAAAATTCAGGAGTATTAGAGGGTACACATCACATTTTGTTCACATACTGTTTGAGTCAAGGTTCACCCATAGTGTTCACTGTACTATGTGTGGATTTACCTATCCCTTCCTCCCCTTGATTTTGAGATTTACTTCCATCTTTTATTAATTTATTCATGTATTGGTGAACACAGTTGTTTCCATGTCTTTGCAATTGAGAATTGTGTAAAATATGTAGGCATCCATTATATGGTCTTTTTTTCTCCCTCATACTTTATAATTCTAGTGGAACTCAACTGCTTTCATTACCTCCCTATATAGTTTTTCACTTCTGAGATTTTGCTCATTTCCATATGAAGGCAATGCTGGCATTAGAGGATGAGGTAGGAAGTATTCCCTCCTCTTCACTTTTTTCAAAAATTGTAAAAATTGGTTCTTTAAATGGTTGGTAGAATTTATCATTGAAGCCATATGGTGTAGACATTTTGTTTTGTGGAGAGGTTTTTCATTACTGATTCAATCTCCTTATTCCAGGTTTCCTTCTAATTTATGCTTAGTAGGTTGTTTTCAGGAATTTATCTAGTTTATACAATTCATTGGCATACAACTGCTCATCCTACTGTCTAATAATTCTGTTACTATAAATTTATAGTAATTTCTCCAATTTTATATCTGATTTTAGTTATTTTTCTATTTTTAAAAATTAAATCGTAACAGTGTAAATTAATGCATTTATGGTGTACTGACTATTTTTAGAGATGAGGTCTTGCTCTGGCTCAGGCTGGTTTTGAACTTGTGACCTCGGGCAACCCACCTGAGTTGGCCCCTCAAGTGCTAGGATTACAGGTGTGAGCCACAGTGCCTGGCTCTACCCTGACTTTGGACATGTCACTTTCCCCTCTTGATTTCCATATTACCGTGAAATGAGAATAGGTGAGAAAAGGCCCTTCTAGCTTTAAAGAGTTAAATGAAACTTGTAACTTCCTTTAGTGGTGGTACTAATTACCAAGCCATTACACTTCCTGTTACTTCAGAGAGATATTTGACCTTAGTATCTTAAGATCCAAGAAATCCCTGATATAAAGAAAACTCTGAAATCATAAATAGAAGCTATGGAGTGGTGAATAGAGGTTTTCCTGGGATGTTGTGGCTTGATGGACAGGACCGACAGATCTGGCTATTGGGAGTGGTATCTTCCCACTTCAGTGCGGCTATGGATTTTTATCCTAGCTTTCGAATTAGTCTCAAGAATGACTTTTAGTATAGGTGGTTTTGTCAGTTTTTTAAGATTGTTATCGACACAATAGCTTCTGGAAATCTGAAAAGAGAAAAAAAAAGGTAATTTATATTATCAGCAGTTTGGAATATGAAATGCATTTTGTCCTGGTGTCAAGAATGTAAATGTTGATCAGTCTCTCCTGTAGTTCTTGTATCCTAATTTTGATAAAGGATGGCAGAGTCTGAAGACCAAAAAGTCTCAAATGTTGACACCCTGGTACAGTGTGATCTGTTACTGATGTACAATTCATGATGAAGACTATAAGGTTACATGTGATCTTCTAGGTACCTTGAGTTGACATTAATTAACAGATTAGGCTTGATGCTAGGAAAACATCCCAAGTTCAAATCCCAAGCATGGATTAATTTGCTCTTTTCCAAGGCCACAGATTCCATGCTTAGCTAAAGCCTGCTGGCCTCCATATGCTAATTATTAAATGGGTAAGAGATCTCCTATGGCCTTACTTAAAAAACTTGATAACTCAATTGTCATTGCTGGTGGATATATACCTCAACTAAGTAGAAAATTAATTAAAGATGTCATTCTACTATAAAAGGCATTAGTTAAGAATCAAGTAAATAAGATAGTATTTTCCCATTTGGGGATGTAGATGAATTGATCAAAATGAACTAGAGTATCAGCAAGAGTCAGGCAAACCCAATCTCTACAAAAACATAGAAAAATTAGCCAGGTATGGTGGCATGTGCCCGTAGACCCAGCTACTAGGATGACTTGAGGCAGGAGTGTTGCTTGAGCCCAGGTGCTTGAGGTTGCTGTGAACTATAATGACACCACTGGGCTCTAGCCCAGAAGACCGTGAGATCTTGCCTCAAAATAAAACAAAACTGGCTGAAATGGTGTAGGGCTAAAAGTAAGTCTTTCTCACACTGGGTTGCCTGAGAAGGGTTATTTTTGTACACCATAACTTAGCTCTCTTTGTCCATTAAGTGACTGAAAATCAAAGTCCCCAACTATTAGTTGTTATATTGTACACCCAAGAAGGTATAATTTCATTAAATTTTAAATACAGATGTTATATTTCTTTTTTCTTTTTTTTTTTTTTTTT